ACAGACACACCCACATGTGATCATCCTCAGCCCGACATCACAGACAGCCCCACATGCGACACAGTCACGCACATACCCACATGTGAGGATCCTAAGCCCGAAATCACACAACCACCAGGCTCCGGTAACGCAGTCACAGACACACCCACATGTGATCATCCTCAGCCCGACATCACAGACATAACCACATCCCACACTACCACGTGGCTGCGTTGGATTGACCGCAGCAAAGATATTCTGCGGGCGTGCACGACGAAGCCGTGGTTTTTGCAATTAAAAGCGGATTGGAAACAACACCTGCGTGAGCACATGGTGGCACACCAGCATAACGCGCAGCGTGCCCTCGGTGAGCGTGGCCATATCCCATCCGTAGAGATGAAGAAAGATGCATGGAAACAATGGGTTGCCCAACTACATCGGCAAATGAGTGTATTTAGTGAAGAGGAGTGGTTCCAGCATTTGTTGCATCATGTAGAGGAGGCGACCGTCCCGGAAAAAGGCGAAGTACCTGGAGTGGAAAAAGGCATAGAAGTGGAACAAGTACTGGCAGCAGAACATATACTAAGAGTGAGAGATGTACCACGGCACAAACCACTCCATGAGCAATACTACCAGCAGAAACACTTAATTTCCAAATTGTGGATGCTCCTTCTCGCATCCGTAATCGAAGAATGCGAAATCGAGAGTAGTATGCAAGAGAAGGAGTTATATGTGGATGATCTATTGGCAAAGCTCTGACATTAGGATGACGGGGCACATGAATGGGAATAGCGCAATAACGCATGCTGACCGTAGACCACTTGTACTGCATTATGTGATATACGTCATATATTTCTTGTTTGCACTATTACATACCTTCTTTTTTTTTTTTGCTGCTCTGTTCTGCTTACTTCTGCTTACTTGTGCTTACATTTGCCGTGTTTTGTTCTTTTTCTGTGTAGTCAACTTCTATTAATATAACTATGGGGACACGGTGGTACACGTCCAATGCATATAACATGTAGATTTAAATGAATAATATGAAGGGGTAGAATTCTCCTTTATGGGAAGTTAATTATTAAAAGCTGAGCACGTGCATTCTAAGGGTATAGTGCAGAACACATATAGCATGCGCATACGCATTCCAGTATAAGGTGCTTGTCTCTCCGAGGAAACGCGGCCGCGTAAACCCATTGTCCGAGCACGCAGCCGCGTGTAAGAAGGAGGAGAGATTGTTTCTCCGAGCCACGTGGCCTGGTAAGCAGCATTCGACGAAGTAGCCGCGTGTAAGAACAAGGAGATTGTCTCTCCGAGCAAACGCGCTTCGACGACGTAGCCGGGTGTAACCACGATTCGACGAAGTAGAGGAGTGTAAGAAGGAGGAGAGATTGTCTCTCCGAGCACACGCGTCGACCACCGCGGCCGCGTGTAAGCCGCGGTTCTGCGAAGTAGCCGAGTGTACGAAGGAGGAGAGATTGTCTCTGCGAGCAAACGCGGCCGGGTAAGCAGGATTCGACGAAGGATTGTCCGAGTGACGCGGTCCCAGGAAGTAGCCGAGTGTAAGAAAGGAGGAGGATTGTCTCTCCGAGCAAACGTGGCCGGGTAAACGGGATTGTCGACGACGTAGCCGAGTGTAAGAAGGAGGAGAGAGATTGTCTCTCCGAGCAAACGCGGCTCGAGTGTAAGAACCAGCAGGGACCGGCCACCTGTAGTTTTTCCTATGCAATGTTGCTCTTGTTCTTCTTCCTGTATCTGCTGCTCCTGATACATGCTACATTCTACACCAGCGCTTAACATATACGAGCTGCATAAAATAAAGGAGCGCGTGGGATGATACGGTACCACGATTCCGATGTTGTAGACAAATTGCGTATGCTGATGACGACGAACTTATTCTATCCAATGCACGATAACGGGCGCAAGAGGAGTATGTGGAAAGAAAAACATGTGGGACGACCACGGAACAGAAGGGTAACGTGCGCGACGTGCTACATGCAACGTGCCACATGAATGTAAGGGTATAGTATGAATACGTTCTGTTAGAACGACTACTGCCTCGGTGTTCTTCTCACTCTGCCTCTGCTCCTCTGTCTGTTTAGAACAGATTAAGAGAACGAGAGGGGGTGAGGAAGAGAACTAGAACAATCTAGAAAAGACCTATAGTGTTCAGTAACATAATACATGCAGTAGGCAAAAGATGGATCCGCAGTTATGGATGGATTTCCTGAGGGTGCATGTTGCCAGAACAAGGCAAAAAATAAAGCCCGCGGAAGGAGAATTCGTAAGACAGAACGAATAAGTAGTTAAGAGGAAATATAAATAAGAAATGTGCAGCTACACTTGTAAATTAGTGAACACTCTATGCGTAATATATATAATTAAGAGTGATAAAACCTCATTACCATCTACAAAAATGAAAAATTAATGTAAAATGGTAAGATATGAATATTCGTGTAAAGTACAAATGAATGTAGGCCACATATACACATAGATACATATAAAATATCTTCATTGTAGAAAGCACTATTGAAAACTATAGAGAAGAATTTCGGAGAATTTATGCAACATATGGGTGACAGCAGTATGATTGAGGCTTATGGGTCCAATTGTAATAATGATGATCCGCATTACTGGGAACAACGTAAGAGTGCAGGACAAGGATCGAAAGTAATGATGACTAGGGAAGATAAAATTGTGTGCATGCTAATGACAGGCGCTTTGGCCTTCGTGAATGGGTGGGGCACAGTAGGAAAACCTAGGCAAGGAATTGCTGCAGATGAAAAAAAGGCAGAAACTTTTATAAAATGCGCACTGGCAAATATGTACATGTACATATTAGAGGAAACACGGTGTGATGCAAAATGGGGTATAGATTATGCCTGGTATGCAATGAACAAATTAGAGGGACTTCACCTAGAGAATTTAATTAAGGAACAGAAATGTAAAAGGGGGGCAGATGAATATGGGAAGAAAGCAGATGCACGCATCAGGGGCAGAATTAAGAATTTCCTAAAGTCTAATGGGGGAATGTTCGCAGGAATACAAGGGGGAACAGTAAAAACAGAGTGTGAGACAAAACTGACAACTCATAAGGAGGAGGAGGGGAAAGGGCACACAGAAATACAGGTGAAGACGAAGGATGCGAAGTACAATGAAAACGGTAAGGAAACACATTCGTGATGAATACAGATTCTTCAGTGACGTTGGTCTGTGGCAACACCTGAGTAAACACAACGGCGTCCATAAAAAAAAGAAAGCGGCAACAGAAAGGACGAACATTGGGATCGTTTATGAGAACAGCATGGCATCTCGCCCTTTGCTGTCATCCACTCGTCGCCCGTTTCATCCGATGCCAATGACGATGCCGTCGAACACGCGGCCCGGCCGACCACCACCCCTTTCTTCTTGTGTGTTCATGCATCTCGCTTTGTTTTAACAAATATCCACCCCTTCCCTGTTCTTAGGTAAACAACGAAAGGGCTCTTCCACCACATCAAAACCAGCCACGGCGACCGGAAGCGACGGCCACGCTGCCAAACCAGTAGCGGTGAAACCGGCATCACCACCCTCCCCGACGCCGGGGACGAGGACGACCAGACTCGGACCAGGAGACGATTGTCAAGGAGACAAAGTATGGGAATGGAAGCACAGGGAAATATACGTGCAGCTTGATTATAGTGTAAGTTAGGATAAGGGGAGCTGTCGGGAAATGGAACAGCCAGGAGAATTTATTCATACGCTTACATGCACATATGCGAGGGTGTACATGTGTTCAGGAGGCAACAGAGATCGTGCCATGGTATCATGGGTGCTCTCTTCCGTGTTGTTGTACACAATGTAGGCTGATCAATGGAACAAGATGAAGGACGTGTTGGATGACTTTATTAAATATTTGCAGGACAAGAATGATAACTTTGACGGGTACGGTGCCAACTGTAATAATGCAGGTTGGAATGATTTCACACAAGGGCAACACCATACGGGCCAGACAGTGGCGGACATGATGAGATGCAGGATCATGTCAGGAGCGCTGTGGTTTGCCAACGGTTGGGGGATCGGTGACAAGAGTGGTAAAGACAAGACCGGGGATGAGCAAAAATTGTACGAACAGCTAAGGTGTGAAGTGGCCCATGTTTTTGGGCACTTACTGAAAAATATGTACTGTAAAGATAAGACACCATGGCCAAGAGGTGTAGAATATGCTTATACAGCATTACAGAAGATGGGGAGAGGTGAACACGGCAAGGACGGATTACAGGGTCCCGTTGTGGAGGGAAGATGCACCATGTGTGGATACAAAGGTTACACGCACCATGTGCAAGCAGTAAATTTGCGAATAGCACAATGGTTAATGTGGGAAGGAGGACTATTGGGAGAAATACAAAAATTGGAGCAGGAAATGCCTTGTGAGCAGCATTGGCAAAAGTATATTACCCATGGGGCAAAGGCAGGGGATTCTATCGAAACAATTTTGACCACACCAGGAAAGGAGGAAAAGAAAAAACTGGACACGGCGATAGTGGAGACAGCACAGAAGGCCTTTGAGGGGGCGAAGGCCGCAGTAGAACGAGAACTTGAAAAACTGAAAGGTAAGAATACGACTATCGCCGCATGCGCCCGCACACGGCCCGCCACGTACCGTACGTTACAGATACGGATGGCACGAATATGGATGCCGCCACAACAGCACACACACGCACTCGCACAACAACACGCACGCGGCGGCGACGACGGCAACGCAACGGCCACAACATGCACGCACACGCGCACGGCCACAACAAAGCACACGCGGCGACGACAGCACCGGAGACGGACAGGACGAGGCACCGGATGAGGGAGAAGGGACAAGATGACGGCAAGGACGGCAAGGACGGCAAAGTACCTGCCACACCAGTCGCGGCGAAGCAGGCAGAAGCGGGATCGTGGTCTGGAACGAGGGTAACGGAGAAGACGAAATACACTGAGAGTGGCGCAAGCAACACACCCAGTGCAGCAAGTGGTCGCGGAACAGTCACTAGGCACGAACGGGATGCTGCGATGGATTTCTTAGTGAAAGTTCTAGTGAGTTATATAAATCGTAGACGCATAGGCGGGGAAGATGGGGAGCAGAATTATTATGTAGGTTCTTACAGGAGAAGTATTAAGGAGAGAGTGCAGCAGCCATATGCTCATATGATAACGCGCAATGGGAAGAATTCTTAAATAGGATATATATGGGAGCAGTGTGTATTGGACTAATAGATCACAAAACACAAAACAGAATTATATATGTTCAGGAACAACATGCATTTTAAGCAGTGTGTAAGAAATTTAAGACAAAATACAAAACGCAAACAACATGTATATGTTTATAACTATATGCTTATTGCGCAGTGTAGGATAAATTTTGGGCAGATATGAAGAATGTGTACGCACAATTTGTGAGACATATGGTGGAACAGGATCAGGGAATACCGTATGGGGAACTGTGTGAAACGGCAGAGAGGGATCATAATGAGGACCACAAGTTCACGGGTGACCGTGTGGTATGCGAGTTTATGTTGCGTGCGTTGTATTTTAAGCATGGGCTGCATGTGCCTGGCGCAGGCAGGAGTGTGCAGGGGCCTGAACACCACGCCACAAAAGCGGAACCATATATGACGTGCATCATAGTGAATGTATTTATACAGCACATATTGGGGGAAGTGTGCCTGGAAACACGGGGAGCACAGTATGCAGAAAAAGCTATATATGAATTATTGAAGCCCGACTCTGGGTTCCAGGAGAATGCTACGTGTGATGGTGTAAACTTGAGAAACACAACAGTAGCCGGGGGTAATTTAACGCAAAGAATAACAGCATGGATAAAGAACGAAAAGATAAAGTGGGGCGATACAGCATCTGCAGGAACATTAGACAATAAGTGTACAGCATGGACGGGAGAGGCACAGGATAAGACCGGAAAGAAAAACGAGGCCGTGGAAGAAGAAGAAATAAAGCAGAGAGTGGAAGCAGCCATAAGCACAGTAAAGCACACTATACAGGAAAACGAGGACGACATAAAAACGAAGGTAGTGCAAAGAATCCAACAGACACTATCCACACAGAATAGCAGTGCACAAGCACCTCCTGCCGATGCCGCGGACACACAATCAAGGGAACCGACAGGTAAGGACCGATGGGGAGAAAGCACGAATACGCCCCGCACACGAACACGAATACCGACCGTACTGCCGAATGTGGATGCCGCCATCACAACAACAACGCACACGGCAGCCAGAACAGCACAGCAAACGACGTCGCTGACGTTGAGCGGCGGCGGCCCCCGTGTAGAACAGTGTGGAGCGGCGACGGCGAGCATGTAGCGGAGGCGACGAGCGCCCGAGATGACAGCAACAACATAAAAGTTGTACTGCTACCATCTAGTCCAAGTTCACCGAGTGCGCCCCCCTTTCTTCCTGTCTTTGTCCTCTTCTAACAACGTGCGCGCTCTCTAACACCGTGCCGCCCCTACCCTGCCGCTACCTGACCGCACCGTCTCGAGCCCCTTCTTTCTGTACCACTTGTGTCGTTTTTTTGTATCATATTTTTACCATGTTTCTTCCTTATTGCAGCCGCCGCAGCCAAACCGGCGGCGACGAAGCCGGCAACAACTAAACCGGTAGCACAACCAGACGGGGCAAAGAAAGAAGAGAAGACATCGTCACCATCACCATCACCAGGGTTAGAACCAGTAGGAAGGGCAGATCCATCGGCAGCAGAGAATGGGGGGTCGCAACCTCAGGCACCTGAATCTCCAGTATTACCAGCACGACCACCACCACCACCTCCCCCTCCATCAAGGACACCATCAACAGAGAACAATGGAAAGACCCAGGATAAGAGTGATCATAAGGCTACAGGAAGCTCAGGAGCTGCAGGAGTAGGAACAAGCGTATCCACCACAACGGACCCCGAACTAGGTACTGTTACAATAACTACAAAGATTACTACTATACCCTATAATCCTACAACAGGTGTCAACCCAGCCGACCTGGAAAAAATGGCTGATGAACAGGAGAAGGGGAAAATGAGTAAGACATAAGAAAAAAGGCACGCATGCCACCATGATGAGCGCGCACGGAAAAAAAATAAAACAACTAAACCACATTTCCGGAGAGAGAGGCAGAGAGATAGCGACAGCCGCGGCAGCGGCCGCGGGATGTAGACCTTGACGTCGACAGACAGACACGCACACACTGTGTGTGTTGCGTGTTGTGTGTGGGAGACACAGCGAGTCTTTTCCCGGAGTGGCACCGCAACCACCGTTCGTCTCCCCCACGCCTGCCTCCGTCCCCTCCGTCCCCTCCGTCCCCGCCGTCCCCGTGGCACCCATCGTGCCGACCGCGGTCCGCCAACCTGCAGCGACGCCTGCCTCGTCGCCCGTGGCACCAATGCTGCCGACCGCGGCCGACGAAGCATGGTCAACCATATTCATCTAGAGCACAACTTCAATTTCCTCCCATATTTCTTCCATTAAACCTTTGCTCAGGAACACAGAAACCAGATAGTGTGTCCACGGGGGATCCACAGCGTACGACAGTTAATGTCCAGGTGGAACCACCAGTAACACCCGTACCGGAGTTAAAATCACCCGTACCATCGGCACAGGAGGAAACTAAGGAACCATCCGTATCAACAGCAGTACAAGGGGAAGCTACAACAGCAAACTCTGGACAACCAAAATCTAATGAAGAAGGAAACACACCACAGGTACCTGTGCCAGGATCCGGCGGCGGCCTGGGTGGCGCACCGCCCTCAGGAGGTGGTGCAACTGGCGCAGGTGGGGGCGTAAGTGGAAGTTCCTCATCCTCTCCTTCAGCACCCTCCAGTCCAGGTTCCACTGGTCACCACACCCCTGGTTCCTCCGGATCCGCATCTCCATCTACCCCGCACACTCCTCAGATTCCTTCCACTGCCCAGAATGATCAGCCTGCACAGAACAAACCAGGAGAAGGCGCAGTAGCTGCTGCCGTACTCACCTGGCAGGACCTTATCCCGTACACCCCTGCGATCATTCCCGCGGTGGTTGGTATTGGAATCATTGCGTTTTTCCTATGGAAGGTAAGTACACACGCCAATGCGGGCATGCCGCATGTGCAGGATGTTTATACCTCTGAACATCCCGACGGGCTCCAATATATGATCGTGCTAACACAAATACACTCCTACACCCGCGTTCATTCCTTTTATCCTACCGTCCTCACCCTGCTCTTTACCCCCCTTTTTCTTTGCTTAGTATTTTGCGCACCTCGCCCCACGACGACGAACATATCGAACCGTTCGTGACGTGCCGTCACCGCCACTCGACGAAGAAATATTGCAACATCTACAACGCGGCGCAGCGCCACCCGATTACGGGTACACGATGGTTAAGGTCACGCAACCTGCGTCAATATCCGGTAGAGCACGCCCCCCGCGCGTGAATCGCCGCACAATCATCGAGCTACATCTAGAAGTGCTCAACGAATGTGAAGCAACCGAATGGGAAAACGTCAAAGACGACTATTTGCACACACTCGTTGAACAGGTTATGGGGGCTAACAACGGACATAGTAGTTACCCGGCGTCTTCTTCGAACGAGGAATCGACAACCCACCATTCGACAAGCCACACCCGCCTAACGCGGGATCCCACCGAAACGGATTCATGTCCACCAAACGAAGACGACCCCGATCCACCCACTGATTCCGACGAACCTGATGCATGGAGTTGTATGGACCCTATACAGTTACCAACGGACCCTTGTCAACCTCATGACCCCGATGTATGGAGTTGTATGGAAACCATACAGGTAGCAACGGACCCATGTCCACCTAACGCAGAGGACTCCGATCCATGGAAGTGTATGGAAACCATACAGTTAGCAACGGACCCTTCTGCTTCTAACGAAGAGGACCCCGATCCATGGAGTTGTATGGAAACCATGCAGTTCGCAACGGACACTTCTCCACCGAATGAAGACGACCCATGGAGTTGTATAGAAACGATAGAGTTAGAAGAAGAGGGGACGCCTGCTCTCTTTCCATATTCTTCCCCGGGGAATGAAAGCCCGATCCCCTACCACAGTAATTGGATTAACTGGATTGACCGCAACAAACGCATATTGCGGGCGTGCACGACGCAGCCGTGGTTTTTGCAATTGAAATCGGATTGGAAACAATACCTGCGTGAGCACATTGCGGCAAACGAAGACAACGGAGTATACGGGCAGCGTGCACTCGGTCAGCACGCCAACATCCCATCCGTAGAGATTAAGAAAGATGCCTGGAAACAGTGGGTCGTGAAGCAACATAACGACATGGCAAAGTACATCGAAAAAGATTGGTTTAGGCCTTTGTTGAATAGTGTAGAGGAGGAGACAGAATCGCACAAAGGCGAAGTACCTGGAGTACAAAAACACTTAGAAGTGGACAAAGTAATGGCCGCAGAAGATGTGCTCAGACTGCGACATGTACCACGCACGCAACTGCATAAGCAACCTTACATGAACAAGCCGTTAACCGCTAAAATATGGATACTGATCCTGGCATTAGTCATAGAACAGTGCAAGCTCGAGAGCCGTCTGCAGGAGACGGAGTTATATGTGGATGCACTACTGGACAAGCTCTGACATTCGGCTGACGGCGCATATGAATGGGAAATAACGCATGCTGACCGTACACCACTTTTACTTCATTATGTGATATAATATACTTCTACTTTACATTATTCTATACATTCCTTTTTTTTTTTCTGCTCTGTTCTGCTTACTTGTGCTTACTTTGTGCTTTGTTTTGTTCTTTTTCTGTGTAGTCCACTTCTTTTAACATGACCCTATGCACAGGGTGGTACAGGTCAAATGCATATAAAACGTAGATTTAAATGAATACTATGAAGGGCTACAATTCTCCTTTATGTGAAGTTAATTATTAACAGATGCGCACGTGCATTCGACGCGTATATTGCAGAACAAATATAGCATGCGCATACGCATTCGAGTATAAGGAGAGATTGTCTCTGCGAGGAAACGCGGCCGCGTAAACCCATTGTCCGAGTAACGGCTTTCGACGAAGTAGCCGAGTGTACGAAGCATTAGACGAAAGACTGTCCGAGTGTAAGAACGCGCACAGATTGTCTCTCCGAGCACACGCGGCCGGGTAAACGGGATTGTCCGCGGACGTACCCCAGTGTAACAAGGAGGAGACATTGTCTCTCCGAGCAAACGCGGCCGCGTAAACCGCATCGTAGCCGAGTGTAAGAAGGTACACATTGTTTCTCCGAGCAAACGCGGGCGCGTAAACCGCATTGTCGTCGACTGCAAGAAGGTGCACATTGTCTCTCCGAGCAAACGCGTGGACCAACGCGGCCGGTCCGCGTGCAAGACAGATTCGACTAAGGATTGTCCGAGTGAAGCGGTTCGATTACGGCGTTCGAGTAAACGATTCGACGAAGTAGCCGCGGGAGGGACGGCGGCCACGACGGCAGAAGAATGGATGTTGTTATACTGCGGTTTTGCGGTGTACGCACAGAGAGAAAGTGTGTGTGTCAAGGTGTTTAGTGGACAACGATGTAGACACGCGGGCGGGGGTGTATATTCATGACGCGTTGCGCGTACTATTTTTTCTATTTTTTCTGGTCTTTCTTTCTTTTTTTTTTTTTGTTGTCTCCGCTGTTTTTACTTTTTTATTATTATTTACGCGGGCGACATTGTTCATGTGTGGAAGAGCCAGAGTCTTCTCGAGATTGTGTAGAAGATGTTGTTATGCATTTGTACAGGTATGATGTGTGTCGTGCAATTGTTTGTTTTTTTTTTTTTTAGGTAATTTATTTCTAACTTATTTTTGTTCTTCTTTTTACTCGTATTTATTATTTTTCGTTGTGCAACTCCGCGTTATGTATGTAAGGATACGGAGTATATATGTGTATATGTTTAGATAGGTTATATGAATTGATGCATATATACCCCCTGTTCAAGTGTAGAATATTGTTGAGGTTGCAACCACGTTAATGAGTACTGCATATAGAGGATTCTATTGGATACGTAGACCTTGTGAGTAATGCAGTAGCGCAAGATATGCAGAACGCTATACGCATTCTGCCAGCACTGATCTTTTCTATGTTGTTATGATGCGACAAAAATGGCGACAGAGTTAGCGAACATATTGAGAGCGTATGCGACGCTTAGGCACCTGACGACGGATACTGCGATTTATCAGGTAATTTCCTATACATACACGCCGAGTGTGGCGCTGTGCACAAGCCAGCACATATGTGTTTATAAGAGCAGCATACTAAAGCGTAGCAGCATGTCGGACATGTGCGTGCTTCATATGTACCGCATACGGCACATTTACATGTAACAGGCAGGAAGGGACAGATATATTTAGATGATTGCAACGGTTCGTGAATAATACTGTGCGACCACATATATATGTGCATTGTGTTAACCACAGGGACATTTATGGAAGGATATGCAATACCAAATGCGGCTTTTTATTAAGCATATGGACGGAGATAGTGAGTACCACAATGCTAAGAACTGTGAGAATGCATACTGGGAGCATCCAACAGAACATGGCAAGACACACCAACCACAAAGGAAGATGGATCGGCGAACAGAAAGAGTTATATGCAGACTCATGAAGCAAGGGATATATTTTGCGAACGCATGGACTCAGGAAGTAAAGACCAACATAGAGGACAACTCCGAGAACGATAAGGAAATTAAGGGGTTAATGAGATGCACCATAGCGCATATATACCAAGATATACTCAGGACATATGCATGCGAGGGTTGGTGGGGCACATATTACGCATGGTGGGTGGTGGACCAAATATCGGGCGCGTTAAAGGACACATTGGGGGAAAACCATTGTAAGCGCGGTATGTATAAGGAAATCGAATTAGGGCACTGGCCCATGAGGAATCAGATGAAGAAATGGCTAAAGCAGAATGCACAGATGCAGGAGAAACTTGCGCAGGAACAAATAGGCGATGACTGTAAGGGAGCACAGGTAAAGCTAGAGGTCGGGAAGACACAGGAGGAAAAAGACAAGAACAAGGACAAACAAACGAAAGATGAAGTAAAGCAGCAGGTCACAAAAATTTTGCAAGAAGTGGAGGAAGAGATGAAGAACGAGGAGAAACAATTGAGGGGGTCAACTGCGAAAGCACCCAAGTACCCTTCTGTGGGCGAAGAAGACGAAAAAAAGGATGCCGAGATAGAGGAACACATAAAACACGCAGTAGAGCACGCGGGAGACGCATTACAGAAAGTAATCGTTATTCCCGCCTCCGGCGCACGCGCCACCGGAACAACCCAGCAAACGCCAGGTAAGGACCGATGGGAGAAAGCACCAATACGGCTGCACACGAATATTACGAATACGACCCGTATGGCCCATATGGATGCCGCCACAACAAAACCACGCGCCCGCGGCGGAAAAGCACGGTCCCTTCGTTGAGCTGAGCACAGCGGCGGCCACGAATATGTAGAGACCACGACGGTAGCGGTAGCGGTTGAGGAGCGGACGCATATGAGTGGCCAGGGCAGCGGGACGGCGGACGACATGACGGCAACAACAAATAAAAGTTGTACTGCTACCATGCAGCCGACCCAGTCGACCGAGTTCACCGAGTACGCAGTCAACCTCACTGTGCGCTTGATGCCGCCTGACCCAGTTCACCGAGTCTTACCCCGACCCACTGCATCGACCCACTGCATCGAGCCGGACCGTACCCTGTCGCTACCTGACCCCATCGTCGCGCCCCGTCGTCGAGCCGGACCGTGCGCTGCCGCTGCCTGACCGAACCGTCCCGGCCCCTTCTTTCTGTACCACTTGTGTCCTTTTTTGTATCATTTTGTCGTGTATCTTCCTTGCTTTATTTGCAGAGACGGAGAAGACAAGCACGGACAACACGGCAAACACTCCATCGGCACCATCCGTGCCGCCCGGACCAAAGGGACGATCAGAGGACTCAAAAGCAGGGCAACCACAAGCACCGGCATCCCCACCCGCGCCAGGGGAAGAAGGAACCCAACCTGTTACTGGTGCTGCAAGACCCAAGGGACCACACGAACAATCAGGTGAGGCACAGTGCCAGGCGAGTCTTCGGCCGGCTGCAGCCAGTTCCGGTGGTATTGTTATAAGTACCGCATGTACATCCGATGCAGATTTAGGAGGAGGAAAAAAAGTCAACGCTGCTATTGCCCACGGTAACGCATTTCGAGAGCACACATACAAAAGAACCGTTCAATACACATACAAGAGGACACAAAAAAAAAAGAAACAACTTTTCCGGAGACAGAGAGGGAGAGACACCACGGAGCGAGAGAAACCAAACGTCGAATGAGAATGCAAACGGCAGACCCGCGGCCCGTAGAGAGCGACGTAGAGACATCGACAGACAGACAGACACACTGTCTGTGTGTGTGCTGTGTGGGAGACAGAGAGAGAGTCTTTTCCCGGAGTGGCACAGTAACCACCGTTCGCACTGTGGCACCAATGGTGCCGACCATCAGCGGCGGACCATTTGCCCAACCGACCGTGGGCAAAACCATCCGAAACATAACTTCAGTTTCATCACATCCTTCTTCCTTCCCTTTCCCTGTCTCCCCATTCACCAAATGTTCAGGCGATAACGTGCCCGATGGAGGCAGTGGCGGAAATGATGACCCCCCTCTTCTCAATCCACCCAAACCAAAACCGAACCCGAACCCAGATCAATCGGGGAGCAGCCCCGGCGGCGGCGGCCAAGGTAGCGAGGTAACGGTTCCTACCAATAATCAGGCTGCTCCGCATACACCACACAATGCGGGCAGTGGACCAGGCGACTTCACTTTAGACATAGCACTTCCAACAGGAGGGGGCGACGTGGGCGGATCATATGGAACAGGTCCAACACCAGGTCCAAAGGGGAACCCTCCGCACAATGTGGAACACGATGGCCCCTTCTTCCCCGATCTAACCGCCGACGTCCTTACCGCCACTACTCCCGTTCTGTTTTTTCTCACTTCCGTCATCGTGGCCCTTCTGGGTTATTCCCTTTGGAAGGTAAGTATATACGACAATGCGGGCATGCCCCATGTGCAAGATGTTTATACCTCAGAAACTCCCTACGGGCTACAATATATGATCGTTCTAATCCATATATGCCCCTACACCCGTGTTCATTCCTTTTATGCTACCGTCCTCACCCTCCTCTTTACCCCCCTTTTTCTGCTTAGTACTTTGCGTACCTCGCCAAACGCCGACGAAAATACCGAACCGTTCGTGACGTGCCGTCACCGCCATTCGACGAAGACATATTGGCGCATCTACAACGAGGCGACCTGCCGCCACCCGCTTACGGGTACACAATGGTTACGCAACCTGCGGCAACACGCGGCCGCCGACGACGCCCACCACGCGTGCATACGCGCACGATCATCGAGCTACATCTAGAAGTGCTCAACGAATGTGAAGTGGCGGAATGGAATACGGTGAAAGAGGACTATTGGCAGATACTCGTTGACGCGTTTATGGGGGACGGCCATGGGCATAGTAGTTCCGTGCACGTTCCTACCTCGCACGCCGCTTTAGCAACCCACGATTCGACAACCCGCGCTCCACGCACTGACTTCGACGGCACAGATCCATGTCCACTGAACGACCCCGATCCATGGAGTTGTATGGAATCCATACAGTTACCAACGGACCGTGCTCCGCCTAACGAAGATGATCCATGGAGTTGTATGGAACACATACAGTTAGCACCGGACCCTTGTCCACCTAACGAAGATGACCCCGATCCATGGAGTTGTATGGACACCATACATCCCGAAAAACAACAGCGTCCCTCTACTGGTCCCGCGCACGCGACGTCGGACTGCATCCATTGGATCCCGTGGATTGACCGCCACACGCACCTATTGCAGCAGTGCACGACGCAGCCGTGGTTTTTGCAATTAAAAGCGGATTGGAAACAATACCAGCGTGAGCACATTGCGGCAAACGAAGACAACGCAGTATGCCGGCATAGTGAATTCGGTGAAGCGGCCACGCCGCCGATGAAGAAACTGCGGTTGTGGAAACAATGGGTTTCCCAACAACATCGGCACATGAGTACATACACGGAAGAGCAGTGGTTCCAGCATTTGTTGAATAGTGCAGAGGAGGCGACAGAATCGCAAAACGGCGAAGTACCTGCCGTCGACAAAGACTTCGAAGTGGAACCACTCATGGGAACAGAAGATATGCTAAGAGTGCGGCATGTTCCACGCACGCAACTGCATCCGCAACCTTACATGCAAACACCGTTAACCGCTAAAATATGGATGCTCCTTCTCGCGTCCGTAATCGAAGAATGCGAGGTCGACTGTCGTTTGCAGCAGACGGAGTCATATGTGGATGCTCTATTGCAAACGTGTTAAAATTAGGATGACGGGGCATATGCATGGGAATAATGCACTCACGCATGCTAATCGTACACCACTTGTACTGCATTATGTGATATACTTAATATATTTCGCGTTTACATTATTCTATACCTTCTTTTTTTTTTTCTGCTCTGTTCTGCTCTGTTCTGCTCTCTTCTGCTTACTTCTGTTTACTTTTGCTTTGTTTTGTTCTTTTTCTGTGTAGTCCACTTCTTTTAACATGACCATGGGGACAGGGTGGCACCGGTTAAATGCATATAAAATGTAGACTCCACTGAATAATATGAACGGGTAGAATTCTGCTTTATGTGAAGTTAATTATTAAAAGCTGAGCACGTGCATTCTACGCGCATAGTGCAGAACAAATATAGCATGCGCATAAGCATTCGAGTATAAGGAGATTGTCTGTCCGAGCAAACTCGGTCGCCCCACGCGGCCGCGTGCACGACGCAGGACCATTGTCTCCGAGCCAACGCGGCCGATTGTAACAACGATTCGACGAAGTCGCAGTGTGTAAGAAGGAGAAGGATTGTCTCTCCGAGCAACGCATCGGTCCGAGTGTAACCACGAGTCGACGACGTGGCCAAGTGTAAGACCGATTCGACGAAGTAGCCGAGTAAAGCGGTTCGAGGGAAGGATCCAGAGAGGGAGCATAGAGCGGAGGGAGGTGCGGAGCAGGAACACACATATTATGTGGGGCAGCAATAACAGCATCAACGACGGCAACAACGACGGAAGAAACATTCATGTTGTTATACTGAAGTTTTTAGGTGTATTCACAGAGACAACGTGTGTGAAGGCGTTTAGTGGAGACGGGGGCGAGGGGTGTATGCATGAAGGTGTACTGTTGTCCTATTTTTTTCTTTTTTTTTTTTTTGTTTTTTTTTGTTCTTCTTTTTCCTTTTTTTTTTTCTTTTCTTCTTTCTTTTCCTTTTTCTATATTCATTTTTCTTTTATTACCTATATAGAAGTCATGCATGATTTATTAGTAGTGGAACAATGCGATTGCGCGGCAGGGACACATGCAGGTTTTTATTATGTATAGATTTCTACTGTTACGTGCTAACCGCGGCCATTACTAATACGTAGTAAAGGGGGAATATAGGAGGCGAGTGTAAATGGGCCACATAATGCTAAATATATTTCATACACAAAATTAGGGTAGTAGTTAAGATTGTAGCATTGTTACTTACCGCAGGCGAAACAATATGTCGCCTAAGGGGTTAGGGGATTTACTGGCGGAGTATGTCAGGAGCCGCGGAGAGCACATGGACGACGAACAATATCAGGTAAGGCACCATGATTACCGGGAGGCCAGGGAGCATAAATGCGGTTATGTGTACACGTAGCACGCTGACAGCGATGTGCATGCACCGGCGTCATGAATCGGTGTGATGATTCCACTAGGGCGCACGCATGCACGGAATGAATAATGTAGTAGTTATTCACTAACGGACCGCGGGGAACAATTCATGTAGACGGGTAATACATGTATATGCATCTTCTGTTAATTGTAGCAATTTTTAGAGAAAGACATTGTGTCGCTGCTGGAAGAATTTATGACGGCCATGATGGACATGGATTTAGATTCGTATGCGCAGATCTGCGACAATACGCATTGGCAACATCCAGAGGATGCTGCGCAGGAAAACCCCAAACCACGAGAGATGAACAACATAGGGGAAAGAGTTAAGTGCAGACTTATGACAGGAGCACTGTATTTTTTGAACGGGTGGGGAATAACATTACATGGCAGTGAAGGCATATTTTCGAGTGACGCAGCACTCAAGAAGTACATCAAGTGTGCAATAGTCAATATGTTAACACATATATTAGATGAATACACATGTGGCACGAAGTGGGGTACATATTATGCGTGGTATACAATGGAGAATTATATGCAGCACGTACGCGGCAATGCGGTGGCACAAGGAACTTGTCGGAAAGGAATGTTTGAGGATATTCAGAGGGGACCATGGTCAATGAGTCAAGTGATTCATGAATGGTTCCAGAAAGAGAAGAAGGCATTACAGAAAATAGGTGGACCAAGCATAAAGCAGAAATGTGAAAGGGATATAAAACGAAATAATCTCCAAGATAAAACGGGTAGCACGCAGGTTTATGACAGTACCACCCAGGTTGTGCAGACACACATAGAGCAGAGATTAAAAGCAGGATTGAAAAATATAATAGGAAAGGTTAAAAAAGAGGTCAAGAAAAAAATAAAAGAATTAAGGGGAGAAAGTGCACACAGCGCCGCCCCGGAGGACGACAACGATGATGAAAACGACGATGACGAAGATGATGATGAGCAGGAGGACGTGAATGGTAAGAAGTGTAAAGCAACAGAGTGCTACTAATACGGGCAATAAGAACACGCACAGTACACACACGGCCAAATACGTATACGGCAGGCACGGAGACGACCGCCACCGATATGACTGCGCACGGATGGATGCCACCACAACAACGCACACGCAACGGCCACAACATGCACGCACACGCGGGGGGGAACAGCACGACGCATCCCCTTCGTTGATCTTGAGAGGCGGCGACGAGATGACGGCAACATAAATGTACTGCTATCATGTATCCACCTCACCGTACGCTTGCTCCCGCCTGACCCAGTTCACCGAGTACGCAGTCCACCGAGTCGACCCTGCCGCTACCTGACGGAACCGTCGCGCCCCCTTCTTTCTGTACCACTGGTGTCCTTTTTTTGTTTATCATCTTTCTCATCCATCTGTCGTACATCCCTCATTACAGGCGCAGGAGGACGAATTGATGTTGTTGTTACTGGGTTTTAGTGTAGAAATGGGGTATTTGTTGTTAAGGGGGGTACTTGTTTTGCAAGTGGTGTTTGTTGTTAAGGAGAGTATTGTGGTTAAGGATTTTAGTGGGGGAGAATTATTCTGAGTATGTGATGACAGCAATTCCTAATAAAGGCATATAGGTCCGAAGGATAATGTTCAATTAATGTGGACTTTGAATATATATCGAGCAGAGTGTCATCCTATATAACAAGAAACAAGGGGGGAAGCCATGTGGAACTATTTAATATTACTATGGAACAATTATATTCAGCAGGGAAGAGAAAAAATAGGAGTGAGAGAAGATGCAAAATTTAAGGTACGTTCATATATGTAAAAGACTGGGGCATGGCGCAGCTGCATTATAATGTTCAAATGTTTTGGAATAGCATTGAGGCATGCCCTATGAAGCATATATATGTTCATATTGTGAAGCGCTATGCGTTCTCCACAAGGGGGACATGCATATGTATAGGAGCAACATGTACTCATATCCAAATTTATATAGTAAGGCCAAGTGGAACATGACATATACTTCATTCGGTAACATATGATGAATGCTGTAACTGCAGGCACTTTTCTGGCAAAATGTGCAGACAGTATGGACACAATTTAAGGAATTCATGGAGAGTAACGCGGACCATGCATCCATACAGACCATGTGTGAGGCCGGACGGGATGAGCACGAAGGGGGCGCGTGGACTGCTGAGGACATGGGTCTATGCGAGTTAGCGTATATAGCGTTACGTTTTAAACATGGAATGAATGCAATGGGGGCCACTATGAAACGGCAATACAAGGACGACGACGAAAAGCAGATAGACCTCTATATGAGATGTATTTTGGTAAATATATTTATGAAGAAAATAATGGGCATGAAGTGTTTAAAGCGACCTGGTGGACACTTTGCATTTGGTTTGGCGAAAGGCCTAATACACGACGTCCACCGGCAAGCGCTGGGTAATGTTGCATGCGAGTGGAAGGATGCAGACAAAGGGGGAGACGCACAGGGCAAAAGTGCACAGGATAGGGATTTGTGGGATATAATGCAAAGATGGAATGAAAATAATAGACTGAAAATAGGGGATGGGGATTGGGGAGTGTTGGGGGCAGGATGTCATGTGGAGAAGAAAGGAAGGGCGAAAGTTGGGGATGCAGACGACAGCAAGGACTTGAAGGAGAAAGTGAAGGAAGAGATAAGCAACGTGCAGGAGGATATAAAAGTGAAAGTGTCGAAAATATTAAAGGGAATAGGAGTTTGTAGTGATGGGGATGACAATTGTGTAAAGAAATTATTAGAGCAGGAGAGAGATAGGGAGAAGAACGACCAGGACTCCCGTTCAAAGGCTCTAGGCGATAACGGACCGTCACAGGGGGACGTGAAAACATCATCAACAGCAAGGCCACCACGGCCATCCAGACCGACCGCAGAACCGTCATCGCCAGGAGTAGGAACCGCAGGGTTACCAGCGGTAGGAACATCCGACACAAAGGCCACCCACAAACCCGCCCTGGCCAAACCAGCACCCGCTAAACCCGCCCCGGCTAAACCAGCACCTCCTGCCAAACCAGTAGCGCCGAAACCGGCAACAGCGGTGGTAACGACGACGACCTCATCTGGTGGTGGTGGTCGTAGTGGTGGTACCAGTGGTGCTGGTAGTACCGGAGGCGGGCAGGCGAAGAAGGCCGAGACACAGGAGAAGTGTCAAGGGCAGACAATATTGGACTGGAGGCCTACGCTAATCTACGTGGAGCATGGTTATAGTGTAAGCAACAGTACACAGAGAACGCACAAGCAAGACAGAAAAAGACAGAGGCATAAGCACGACGCATAATTTGTGCATAACATTACATGCATATGTGTAGGTATAAACCCTACCACGGGCCATGGTGCACGTGGAATGTGCACATGCATATTCTTTTATTTGCATGTGAAAAATGCAGGATGAGCAATGGACACCGGTGAAGGAAGTGTTGGAGGAGTTTATTCAATATTTGAACGAGAATAATGATAACTTTGAGCAATACGCTGCCAATTGTGATAATAAAGGTTGGAATGATTTCGGTGATGGTAACCTATATAAGGAACAAAGAGTAGCAGACATGATGCGCTGTAGAATCATGTCAGGAGCACTGTGGTTTGCCAACGGTTCGGGCACTAATCAGGCAGAGTGGGCGAAAAAGAGTGAAGTTGAAAAGAAAGAGATAGAAAGACTAAGATGTGAAGTGGCTCATGTATTTGGGCACTTACTGAAAACTATGTACTGCAAGAACCACGGAGGATACAAGAGAGGTGTAGAGTATGCTTGGCAGGCAATGAGGAGTATGAAGAGCGCAGAATCCGGTAAGCCTGGTACACTGGGGGGCCCTGTTATAGAAGGCAAGTGTACACCATGTGGGTATACGGGCTATCACAGGCATATAACAGCCATAAATTTGGCGATAGCACAGTGGTTAATGGATAAAGGGCAAATAATGCAAGAAATAACAGCAATGGAACAGGCAATGCCGTGTAATGCACCATGGACAGATTATATTAAGCAGGGGGAAAAACCAGGGCACCCTGTCAAAGACAGTGTGAGCAAAGACGGGAAGGAGAAGATAGACAAAGCACAAAAGGCGATGACAGGCTCAGTAATAAAGATAATTGAGAAAGTGCAGGAAGCACAGGACGAAATAAAGGAAGAAGCAAGGAAGCTCTCTGGGCAAGCGAACAAGAAAATTGAACCAGGTAACAACACGACTCGTACGCATACCAATCATACGGCCGCACACGGGATCACACGGCCCGGTCCGTACGGTACCTATATAGATGCCACCACCACCACAACACAACGGGCACAACACCACGCGCCCGCGGGAAGAACAACACAGCACAGCAAACGCCGTCGCAGACGTTGAGCGGTAGCGGCGACGACATGACGGCAACAACAAATAAAACTGTACTGCTATCACCTCCGTCCACCGAGTACGCAGTCCACCTCACCGTACGCTTGCTGTCGAGTGACCCAGTCCACCGAGTCTTACCTGGACCCACTGCATCGACCCACTGCATCGACCCATGCAGCCGACCTACCCTGCCGCCACCTGACCGAACCGTCCCGGCCCTTTCTTTCTGTACCACTGGTGTCCCGTTTTTTTTTTATCATCTTTCTTCTATCTTATAGCAGAAGACAAGAGCAAAAAGAAAGAGGACCAAAGTGGCCACAAGGAAAAAGAGAAGGAAGCAGAGAAGACATCGGCAACAGTCAGTGGAGCAGGAAGAGCTGATCCATCGGGAGCAGCGGACCTGGTAGGGAAACCAGGATCGCCAGTATTACCAGCAAGACCACCACCACCTCCACCGGATCCAGCAGGAAAACAAGGGGAGAAGGATGGACCAGACGCGCAGACGCCAGGAGGGCCTGTTACCGATGACCACAAGGATAAAACTACAGGTAAGGAAACTACGTGCCCCAAGAATGTTAATGAGGAAACCTTAGGGACCGGAACAGTTAGCATTGCATTTCAACCTGGACCTGAATGTAAAGGTAAAGGGAATACCACCCCTGAGTACTCCACTTTACAGAGTAGCAAGAAGAGTGTCCTCAGCTGACAGTGTTCATCACAGTACACGGATCCATGCCTCAAAGAAGGGCACAGGAGTAAAAAAAGAAAAAAACACGAAAGAAACAACTTTTCCGGAGAGAGAGGGAGAGACACCACGGAGAGAGAGAAACCAAACGTCGAATGAGAATGATGGCGCGACCGGGGACAGTGCGCCGCCGCGGGAGCATGCCGCCACGGGAGGCAGACACACACGTACAGACGTCGACGTCGACGTCGACAGACAGACACACACACTGTGTGTGTTGTGTGTTGTGTGGGAGAGAGAGCGAGTCTTTTCCCGGAGTGGCAACTTGCCCCGTGCAATGCCCTGACCCCCGTCCGTCTCCTACCACCGTCTCCCCAACGCTTGCCGACGTCCCCGTGGCACCAATGGTGCCGACCGTGAAACGGTGGCGACGAACCAACCATGCGACGAACCACCTGAAAAACTTAACTTCCATCACTTTCTTCTGTTCACTTTGTTCGAATATGCAGGTGAGAAAGCTGAATCCAAGGCTGATGACAGTGAACAAAATAGTAAGGGTGCCGTCGCCACAGGTAGTGGTACAGAGGATCAGACTACAGTGACTAATAAAGCTGATCCCCCTGCTTCAACTGGTCCCACAGATCCAGTTAGTCCAGCTGTGGCAGCAGGCGCAGGCGGTGCACAGGGTGCATCCGGTGCAGCCGGCAACGACGGTAAAACCGTCGACAATGGCGGCAACGATGTCCCCCCTCCTCTCAATCCACCCAAACCAAAACCGAACCCAGATCAATCGGGTAGTAGTGGCAGTTTCAGTGAATCCGGTAGTTCCGCAGCAGGCGGTGGAGCAGCTGGCAGTGGAGGAGGTCCATCCTCTGGTAATGGTTCCACTGGTACCCAAACCCCAGGTTCTTCAGGACCCGGATCTAGTACAGTTCAGCCTAAACAGAACGTAGCAGCAGGGGGTGGCGCCGGCGCAGTGGAAGTAACCCCGGCAATTACTGGTGGCGGACTAACATGGGAAGATGTCAAGCCCTATACCCCCGCGATCATTCCCGCGCTGGTTGGTATGGGCATCATGGCGTTCTTCCTATGGAAGGTAAGTATATATGGCAATCACGCAATCCCGCATGTGCAGGATGTTTATACCTCAGAAACTCCCTACGCGCACCAATATATGATCTTTCTAACACAAATGTACTCCTACACCTGTATTCATTCCTTTTATCCTACCGTCCTCACCCTCCTCTTTACCCCCTTTTTCTGCTTAGTATTTTGCGTACCTCGCCAAACGACGACGAACATATCGAACAGTGCGTGACGTGCCGTCACCGCCACTCGACGAAGAAATATTGCAGCATCTGCAACGAGGCGAACTACCGCCACCCGATTACGGGTACACGGTGGTTAGGGATAGGCCACCCGCGTCTGCTGCCGCAAGCCGCGGACAACGCCCACCACGCGTGCATAAGCGCACGATCATCGAGCTACATCTAGAAGTGCTCCACGAATGTGAAGCGCACGCGTGGGAAAACGTCAAAGACGACTATTTGCAGATTGTCGTGCAGGAGTTTGCGCAGGATTTGATGGGGGACGCGGCAACGAATAACAATATCTTGGGTGTTTCTACCACAACGCAGCGTTTATCAGGGACCCATGCATCCTCCACCGTGGATCCACCCACTGAGTCCGACGGAACGGACGCATCTTCACGTAACGCAGAGCACCCCGCTCCATGGAGTTGTGTGGACACTACACAGTTAGCAACGGACCGTTCTCTACCTAACGAAGAGGACCCCGATCCTTGGAGTTGTATGGAAACCATACATACCGCAACAGAACAGCGTCCCGCTACTGGTCCCGAGCGCGTGACGTCGTACTGCATCAACTGGATTAACTGGATTGACCGCAACAAACATATTTTAAGGGCGTGCACGACGCAGCCGTGGTTTTTGCAATTAACAGCGGATTGGAAACAATACGTGCGTGCGCACATGGCGCAAACCCACGTATACGGGCACCGTGAATTCGTTGAAGCAGCCACCCCGCCGATGAAGAAACTGTGGTTGTGGAAACAATGGGTTGCACAGCAACATCGGCACATGCGTATGTATGGCCAGGAGGAGTGGTTTCAACGTTTGTTGAATAATGTAGAGGAGGAGACAGTATCGCAAACAGGCGAAGTACCTATAGCGGAAAAAGGCATAGAAGTGGACAAAGTAATGGCCGCAGAAGATGTTCTAAGAGTGCGCGCTGCACCACGCAAGCAACTGCATCCGCAACCTTACATGAAAAAACAATTAAGCACTAAAATATGGACACTGATCCTGGCCTTAGTCATAGAACAGTGCGAGGTCGAACGCAGTTTGCAGGATAGGGAGTTACATGTGGATGCCCTATTGCAGAAGCTCTGACATTCGGATGACGGGGCATATGCATGGGCAAGAACGCATGCTAATCGTACACCACTTTTACTTCATTATGTGATATACATAGTAAATTTCGGGTTTACATTATTCCATACGTTCTTTTTTTTTTTGCTGCTCTGTTCTGCTTGTGCTTACTTTTGCTTTTGTTTGTTTCTTTTTCTGTGTAGTCAACTTCTTTTAATATGACCATAGGAACAGGGTCCGTACCGGTTAAATGCATATAAAATGTACATTTAAATGAATAATATGAACGGGTCGTATTCTCCTTTATGTGAAGTTAATTATTAAACGCTGAGCACGTGCATTCGCAGGGTATAGTGCAGAACAAATATAGCATGCGCATAAGCATTCGAGTATAAGGAGAGATTGTCTCTCCGCGCAAACGTGGCCGGGTAAAGGAGATTGTCCGAGGAAGTAGCCCAGTGTAAGAAGGAGGAGACATTGTTTCTCCGAGCAGACGCGGCCCAGTGCAAGACCGATTCGACGAAGTAGCCGAGTGTAAGAACGGAGGGAGACATTGTCTCTCCGAGTAAACGGGGCCAGCTTCGCACGAAGTATCCAAGTGTAAGCAGGATTCGACGAAGTAGCCGAGTGTAAGAACGGAGGGACACATTGTCTCTCTGAGTAACCGCGTCGACCAACGCGCCCCACTCAGCACGGCTATTGCGAGCGCACGTGGCCGCGTAAACCGCATTGTAGCCGAGTGTCAGCACGATTCGCCGAAGTAGCCGCGAGTAAGAAGGTACATATTGTCTCTCCGAGCAAAAGCGTCGACGAAGTACCCAATTAAGGGGTTCGAGGGCAGGAGTTCCGAGAGGGGGAGCAGTGCGAGCGAGGGGCGGAGCGCAGGAAACACATGTTATGTGGGGCAGCAACAACGACGGCAACAACGGTAGCAACGACGGCAGCAACGACGGCAGAAGAAATTGATGCTGTTACTGCGGTTTTAGTGTAGACAGGGGGTATTTGTTGCTAAGGGGGGTATTTGTTGTTAAGGCGGGTATTTGTTGTTAAGCGGGATATTGTGGTTCAGGAATGTAGCAAGGAGGGAACACTCTAATTATATTGGAATCAGGGTAGCTAACCAAGGAATTATAGTCCCTGTGGTACTATTCAGTTGACGTGGAATTTACCAGAGCATCCTCAGAAGTCATATATTACATAACGAACGCAGGAAGGTCATGGCACACTATGCACAAATATTATGGGACGAATACATTAAAAACAGGAATATAGGGGTGCAGCACAAGCATGATAAGGATTTTAACGTAAGTACAGATATGTGGACACTTGGGCGACACGCGTGAATATTAATATGTGGCTATATTAAGAAAGCATGGAGGACTGCATATAAAAGGTGTATGTGTTCTTATTGTCCGTGCGTACAATTTGTATGGGGGGCACGGGAATATATGTCTAGGACGCGCAAGGCCTAGTTATATGTAACAGTATATATAGGGAAGGAACATAAGCAAGGTAGCATACTTTATATATGGATATATGGTGAATATTTTACCTGTAGACACACTTTTGGAACCATGTCACAGAAGTGTGGGGGAAATTCAAAGAGCATATGCAAGATAGAGAACACGATACATTCATACAGCCCCTGTGTGACATGCATCAAGATGGGGACCAGGCGGGGGAAATATTCAATGAGAGCGACAAAGCTGTGTGCTGGCTAGTATTAGAGGCATTAAGTTTTAAACACGGGATCCAGTGGATGCGCGGAGGTACACACTTGAAGACTGTGCAACCTAGAAAACAGGGAGATCAGACCGTGATGCCATATATGAAATGTATTCTGACAAATATATTTATGAAAAGAATAATAGGAGAAACATGTTTGAGAACGGGTGGTGGCACGCAAGCATTTCTCGCAGCGCAGGATTTGGTAAGGAAAGGACAAGAACGGGAGCCTAATATGGCATGTGAGGAGGCGGACAGGAAGGATGGTACCAAGAAAAAAGGAGAAAACACCGAAGATTGGAATTTATTGACCATAATGGACAGATGGCTTGACAGGAATAAGGGATACTTGAGGGATGGCGAGGTAGGAGTATTGGGGCCGGATTGTACGGTAGAAAGAAACAAGAGTGCACTAGAAATAAAGGAAGAAGCGACTAAAAAAATTGAGGAACTGGGTAAAGAAATAGAAGAGGACATACAGAGTATATTGAAGGAAATAAATGATGCGGGGGACAGTAGGAGTATGGACGATATATTGAAGAGGGTGCAGCAAGGCACGCACTCGTCTTCGACGGCTCCAAAAGTTAAAAACGACGTAGTACGTCCACCACCGCCTCGAGAAACCAGCGCACCATCAACACAGGCACCATATGCACCAAAGGTAAATGGATCAGGGAAATCAGGTGGATCAACAGGGACAGATGGCAAAACAGGTGCGGACAACCAGTCTCGGAAGGATAAAGCAGGTAAGGATGCATGCACAGATGACAATTCACACAAGGCAGCAGTCACTATACCAACCCGCGAGGGTTCGCGTGTTAGTGTTACACCAGTTGAATACACTTATGAAGGGAAAACTAACTGCGAACTTATTAGAGAATTAGAGCGTACACAAAAGAACTCGGGACCAACTCCTGGCACTGTAGGAACACCAGGGGGCACCAGTAGGGACATTTCGGCAGAGGATACTGGTAATATCTGAGTAGTGTGCATACCTATCAGTCGACACTGTAAATTTAGGTGTACACACATACTTAGATGAGAGTACCCGGACGAAAAACAGAAAAGCACAAAAAACAAGAAACAACAATTTCCGGAGACACAGCGGGAGAGACAACACGGAGTGCTAGAAACCACACGTAGAATGAGAATGAGACGGGGACAGTGAGCGGCCGAGCGATGGGTCCGCCGCGGCATGTAGAGAGACGTAGAGACGTAGACAGGTAGACGTCGAGAGACACACATACTGTGTGTGTTGTGTGTTGTGTGGGCGAGAGAGAGTCTTTTCCCGGGGTGGCACCTTGCCACCGTGCGCCCCTACCGCGACGCTTGCCCTGTTTCGTCACGCGACCGGCGGTCACCGTGTAGCCAATCGTCCGTGGTCCACCACCTCACTAAAGTTCAGTTTAGCACATTCTACTTTTCCCCCCGAATACTCAGACCCGAGTAGAGATGATAAGACTCCTGGAGAAGCTCAGCCTCAACTTGACTCCAAGGAAGAGAAAGCACAGATTACGAATGCCATTACTACCAATGAAGCAGATTCTGAAGACGGTGAACCGCGTAAATCTGAAGTTTCTCCCCAACCTAGTAATGCACATCAGGACAAACCAACAGGGGATACCACAAGGGATACTGCAGACACACAATCTGCAAAGGATTCCTCCAGCTCTTGGATCTTTGACTTTGATCCTGACCCCTTGAAATCCATCAGTAATCGGTCTCCTGATTATAACGCCATTGGTGGTGGTACATACCAGCCGCATTATACCCCTTTATGGGGAATAGATATGGAACCCTCACCAAGACCATCCTCCTGTGCCAAACGGGGTGATGGGGAAAGTGGTACACAGAATGGATGGAATGGATATGGCGGTGGCGTAAATTGTGCTGCCGCTCCTTATGATAAGAGGTGTGATCTTAAACTAACAATACCATTTGATGCAAAAGGCAGGGACATAGGAGGACACTACGGAACAGGTCCCACACCCGATCCACATGATACAAGCTCCAGTACACGTAAGGAGGACGTGCCCCTCGATGTCCATGACCTAACGAACGCCGTCCTTACCGCCACTGCTCCCATACTGTTCTTCCTGTCCGCCGTCACCGTCGCCCTCCTTGGGTATTCCCTCTGGAAGGTAAGTATATACGCGACGCCGTATATGCGTATCCGTCATATGCACCATAGACACATGTGTTCCCAACGGGATGTTTTGTGTCATCATTCTAACACAAATGCACTCTTCTACATCGTCCTTCTTCTTTTTTTTGTGCAGTACTTTGCGTACCTCGCCAAACGACGACGAACATATCGAACCGTTCGTGACGTGCCGTCACCGCCACTCGACGAAGAAATATTGCAACATCTACAACGCGGCGAGCCGCCACGCGATTACGGGTACACCTTGATTAGGGATAGGCGCGCTGCGTCCACATGCGCCCGACGACGACGTCATCCACGCGCGCATAAGCGCACGATCATCGAACTACATCTAGAAGTGCTGCACGAATGTGAAGCAACCGAGTGGGAAAACGTCAAAGAGGACTATTGGAAGATTGTAGTGGAGCAGTTTGCACAGGAGTTGATGCGGGATTTGATGCGGGACGACCACAGGAATAACAATATCTTGGGTGTCTCTACCTCAGACCACGGTTCTTCACCCAGCATTGTTTCCTCCACCTTGCATCCATCCACTGACTCCGCACAAACGGACCCTTGTCCACCACATGACCCCGATCCATGGAGTTGTATGAAAAACATACAGTTAGCAATGGACCCTTCTGCACCTAACGCAGAGCACCCCGATCCATGGAGTTGTATGGAAACCATACACATACCCACGGCACCTGGTCCACCTAATGCCTGCGATTCATGCAGTTGTATGGAAACCATACAGTTAGCAACGCACCCTTGTCGACCTAACGAACATGATCCATGGAGTTGTATGGAAAACATACAGTTAGCAACGGACCCTTGTGCACCTGACGAAGATGATCCCTGGAGTTGTATGGAAAACATACAGTTAGAAAGGGACCGTTGTCCACCGAATGAAGAGGACCCCGATGCATGGAGTTGTATGGACACCATACATTTAGATACAGAACCCGACCCGCACTCCTCCCCGCGGCATGAATGCCCGATCCCCGACGACATTAATTGGATTAACTGGATTGACCGCAACAAACATATTGTGCGGGCGTGCACGACGCAGCCGTGGTTTTTGCAATTAAAAGCGGAATGGAAACAACATCTGCATCAACATTGGACAGATGAGGTATCCGGGCACAGGGAATTAGGTGACCCCGGTAATATCCCATCCACAGAAATGAAGAAACTGCGGTTGTGGAATGAATGGGTCGCAACCCAACATCGGCAACTGCGTATGCATAAGGCGGAGTGGTTTCAACATTTGTTGAATACTGTACAGGAGGAGACAGTGTCGGAAAAAGGCGCGGTACCTGCAGTGGAAAACGACTTAGAAGTCGACACAGTAATGGGAACAGAACATATACCGATAGTGAGAGATGTACCGCGGTCGCAACCAATGCATCAGCACCTGTACATGAACAAGCCGTTAACCGCTAAAATATGCATACTGCTCCTGGCATTAGTCATAGAACAGTGCGAGGTCGAACGCAGTTTGCAGGAGCAGCAGTTGTATGTAGATGACCTATTGCAAAAGTGTTCACATTAGCATGACGACGCACATGCATGGGCCATAACGCATGCTAATCGTACACCACTTTTACTTCATTATGTGATATACATAATATATTTCGTGTTTACATTATTCTATACCGTCTTTTTGTTTTTTGCTGCTCTGTTCTGCTTACTTCTGTTTCTTTGTGCTTACTTTTGCTTTGTTTTGTTCTTGTTAAGTAGACAACTTCTTTTAATATGACCATAGGAACAGGGTGGTACAGGTCAAATGCATATAACATGTAGATTTAAATGAATAATATGAAGGGGTAGAATTCTCCTTTATGTGAAGTTAATTATTAACAGATGAGCACGTGCATTCTACCGGTATAGTCTATAACTCATATAGAATGCGAATACGCATTCGAGTCTAAGGAGAGATTGTCTCTCCGCGCACACGCGGCCGCGTAAACCGCATTGTAGCCGAGTGTAACCACGATTCGATGCAGTAGCCGAGTGTAAGAAGGGAGAGATTGTCTCTCCGCGCACACGCGTCGACCAACGCGGCCGGATAAACGGGATTGTCCGAGTAACGCGGCCGCGTGCAACACCGATTGGACGAAGTCGCCGGGTGTAACCACGATTCGACGTAGTAGCCGAGTGTAAGAAGGAGGAGAGATTGTCTGTCCGCGCAAACGCGTCCACCACAGCGGCCGAGTAAGCACGGCTATTGTGTGCGAGCAAACGCGGCCGAGTGTAACCACGATTCGACGAAGTAGCCGAGTGTACGAAGAAGGAGAGATTGTCTCTCCGAGCAAACGCGTCGACCAACGCGGCCGGGTACACGGGATTGTCCGCGTAACGGGTGTCGACGACGTAGCCGCGTGACAGAGAAGCGTTGACGGAGACGAGGTCACGGGAGAGGCGTACACGGCGACACGGCGTTGACGGGAGAGGCGTTGACGGAGACGGCGTTTGACGGAGACGGGGTGACGGAGAAGCGTTGACGGAAGAGGCGTTGACGGAGGAAGCGTTGACGGAGAAGCGTGGACGGAGACGGTGGTGTGTGTATATTTTGTTTTTTTTTGTTGTTGTGGTTACTGAGCGGTGTGTAATAGTAGTAGTAGTAGTAGTCGTCGTACGGTTTTTTAAGAAGGGGAATAAGTGTTCAATATGGTCGGGCTTTCTCACACGCCCCCGGAATTACTGGCGTTTCTAGGGGCATGGGAGGCTTATCTAACGCACATGAAGATCAAGGATGCACGGACATATTGGGTACGTTCACACGTATAGAGAGTTACGGCAACGGGGAGAAGTAAAATTAAGCACACGTATGCATACAGCACCAATAGTCACTTGTGCATGTAAATAACCTACCTATGTGATTTTCATGAAGGAAGGTTGATAATATGATGGAGAATGCTGCGCACACGGTGTGCAGCTATACGGGGGCTTGTATGAATCAGTGCACTCTAATTAGGGAAGGGGCATACATAGCGCAAATACGTGTGTATATGTACTGTTCAATCTGCAGACAGAGCTATTCCGGGAGGTTGATAACATCTTCACGGAGTTCACGACCGCAGTTGGCCAAAGTATCGGTGCGATCGCTGGATTCTGTGGGGACATATATAATGGACCGTATGATAGTTTATGCAATAACAGATGTGCGGACATTACGAAAATCCTGCTGTACATGAAAGGGTATGATTATAAACAGGGAAAATGGAAAAAGAGGGAATTCTCCGAAATGACGGAGGAGAAATTTAGGGAATATTTAGAGTGCATAGTAGCGAGTGAGGCTATGTTACGACTGTATGGACGGAATAAAGACCACAGCGACATTATAACGCAAGTTTCCGAAAAGTTAGCAGGACAGGAAAAAGTTATGAACCAGTTTTTCGAACGTGGAATATGTGAGAACAGAGATTGGGGGAAGGTAATATTCCAATCCAAGAGTATGGGCACGGCCTTACAGAATCGATTAGAGCACTTAAGTAACAATTGGGCATCAACAAATGTAGGGCGGGGGTATACAGCGTCAGGGAAATGTGGATGGCAGGATACAGACGCGACAGATGCGGACCAGGAGCCTAAGAATGAACAGAAATGTAATGAAACGGAACACGTGTTACCACAGGAGGATGAGCTCATGAAGCAAATAAAGCAATGGGTGGACACAGCTGACACCTTTGAGCACGTGAAGAAGGTGTTAGACGACATACGGATAACAGGGGGATCCACGGCGCGCTGTGACATAGAGAACAAGATAAAGGCACAGGTCAAGGCAGTCAAGGACAAAGTGCATCCACGTAACACTGCCGCCGCTAAACCTGCCCCGGCCAAACGAGTACCTGCCAAGCCGGTCAACACCGGAGCAGCACCACCCAAACCAGTAGCGGCGAAACCGGCATCACCACCGTCATCGGGAAGTGGCATGACGACGACATCATCTGGTGGTGGCACTGGTAAGCCTGGTGCTCCCGGAGAGAACGGGACGAAGGCCGCAACCGGACAAAATTGTGATTGGAGTAGTATATTGGACGAGAAGAGGAAGCAAGTGTACGTGCTGGGTAAATATGGCGTAAGTTAAAGTAAACCGAGAAGGGACCGGAAAAACACACAGAGAACATAAGGTGCATAAACAGAATGTACTTATAGCATATATATCAATTTGGGAGTATACATGTATGCGGACGCATAGAACATACGTGAAATATGAACACGCGCATTCATGTGTTCTCTATGTACATAATGCAGAAGGAAGAACTGGAAAGAATGAAGGACGTGTTGCATGATTTTATGGATTACATGGAAGATCCATACGGCACGGTGGATGCCTTAGGGGCGAATTGTTATAATACAGGTTGGAACGATATAGACCAGGACGACATCTATTACAAGGAGCAAACAGTAGCGGACGTAGTACGGTGCAGACTCCTGACACGAGCATTGTGGTTTGCGAACGGTGACAACACACAACACAAGAACGCGAACGGGGGAAGTGCGCATATGAGTGCAGACGAGGAGAGACTGAGATGCGACGTAGTTAACGCTTTTGGGTATATACTGCACCACAAGTATTGTGCACATAAGACAGCCTGGACAAGAGGCATAAAGTATGCCTGGAAAACAGTGAAATCCATGGGAGACCCTGGAGGAATTAAGGGAGCAGACAGAGGTCCTGTAATTGACGCAAGGTGCACAGAATGTGGCTATGACATTAAGAACCCGGTAGTGAGAGTAGTAAACGGACACATGGCACAGTTGTTAATACATGAGGGGAACCTAATGCACAAAATAGGACAATTGGAGCGTACCGCGCACTGCGCTATGCAGTGGAAGGACTATAAGTCGGGTCCGGGGAGGACTGATGGCAACGGAAACGTGGACTGGAAAAATATCCCTGAAGTAACAAAAACGGAAAAGGAGATAGTACAAAAAACGCAGGCGGCAATTCAGGAAGTGACAGCAAAAATAGACGAAGAAATTGAAAAAAAGAAAAGTGAACAAGATAAAGGTAAAGATACGAATACGACTCGTAAGAATACGCATATACGGCCGATACCGCTGATACGGATACGACCGCATAGGGCCCAATACGAATGGCACGACTGACTACGGCCACATACGTACCGTACGAAAAGCACGGATGCGAGGCA